GTACCTTCCACTTCCACCGGTAAATCGCAGCTTGAGCAGCGTGATTCTCGTTCGGTTTCTCTCTCCAAGGCCAAATGCTCCGATGGTTTGTTGTTGTTGTTGTTGTAGATTACTTTATTTCTTTTCCTCTTGTTTTGTTCAATTAATTTCAAGTGGTTGGTGAATTTGGCGTTTTCTGAATATGTATTTTGCTTGTTTTGAGAGTGGATTTGATTGGTGGGTCTGGGTATTTGAAGTTCTTGCGCGGCCATCAAGCTGGTGTTTTCTTGTGGTGTAAAAAAGATGTTTACTTGTTCACGTTATTGTATGCATTTATTAGCAGTGTTCTGTTAATTGTGATCTGCGTTTGATGAATGTCTTGTGGTTAATGCAACTCAGTCCTTCCATTGTGGCTCGTCATTGTTCTCTTCACTCTATTTCTATCTTTCCTTCATTTGTTTTAATTGTTTAAAAATTAACACCTTTACTGTTTTGTCTAGAGGCAAAGTTAAAGCTAGTAATTTGTAAGCTTTCTTAAGATTATTAGTTCACTTTCATTGTACTTTGGCTATCATTTTTGTAGGGCTTTTGGTATTTCTGCTGATGTGTTTTTAAAGGGTTTTACTTAGGAATTTCTCTCTTTTAATGATGGTATTCTTTTGTCTAAATTTGATCCGTGTTCTTCAACTGCAGAGGAATCTGAAACTGACAGTGAAGAGTCAGATGTTAGTGGTTCTGATGGAGATGACACATCTTGGATTTCCTGGTTTTGCAATTTAAGAGGGAATGAATTTTTCTGTGAGGTTGATGATGAATATATCCAAGATGATTTTAATCTTTGTGGGCTGAGCAGTCAAGTTCCATATTATGATTATGCCCTTGATCTGATATTGGATGTTGAATCTTCTCATGGTGAGCATTAGCTTACGTTCCATATAATCTTTGATTGTTTCAAACTTTCAACTTCAACTGTTATATGTTTGACAAAAAATTAGATCAATGGTTCTCCCTTCTAGATTCATAAACCCTCTCGCTGGAGTACGTGGATTTAAATCTATTTACTTTTTCTTTACACTAGTTGAGGTCCCAAAAAGCTTACAATTAGGATTGTAGATAAATATTTTTAGATGATAGACCTGTTCATACTTCACAGAAAGCATTTTAATATTTGCTCTACAATCCCCCCTCCCCACCTTCTTGTCTCTCCCTTTCTTTATTGTCTGTGCAAATGCAATATCTTGCTCTTATTGCAAGTTTCTTTTTGTTTTTTGCAGGTGATATGTTCACTGAAGAACAGAATGAATTGGTAGAATCAGCAGCAGAGATGCTTTATGGTCTTATTCATGTTCGTTACATTCTGACCAGCAAGGGAATGTCTGCAATGGTAAATTTTTTCTTTCTTTGTTTACATTAGTAATATTTCCACTTGTTAGACTTTGTCATGGTTACAATCCTGCGTTTGAAACTTGTCCTGTAGTTAGAGAAATACAAAAATTATGACTTTGGGAGATGCCCAAGAGTTTACTGTTGCGGACAACCCTGTCTCCCGGTTGGTCAGTCAGATATCCCTCGTTCAAGTACTGTTAAAATCTACTGCCCTAAATGTGAAGATATATATTATCCACGATCCAAGTACCAAGGCAGTATCCTTTCTATATTCACATACTGCTATTATGTTTGAGATATAAATTGCTTGTTTTTCACATCTTTGATGGCAAACCATTATATTAAAATTCTGCAATATTAGTATAAGTTATATAACTGACAATCATTCATCACAACAGCATCTCCTGATGTGTTCCACAATTCAGTTAATTTGAACATGCTTGTTAGACTTGGTTGGTTTGTTTTACGGCATAATGCTAGATATGTTGTACATGTGTGATGGTTTCCTTAACACTAGCAAGATATGGATGGAGCCTATTTTGGAACCACATTTCCACACCTCTTTTTGATGACATATGGACATGTAAAGCCACAAAAGCCAACACAGAGCTATGTCCCAAGAGTTTTTGGATTCAAGATTCACAAGCCCTGATGCTGGAGTTGCAGTCTCCCATTATGCAACGGCAGATTTGCCTGAGTAGCCTGTGCTTCTTGCAATGTGTGGATGATATACCCAAAGAAGCAAAGGTGAAGCAGGTGGTTACAAGAATGTTTAATTTTCACTTGCCAATCAAAATGTTTAGAAAGGAATATGGCCTGTAGTTGAGCACAACCTCTACGAATGTGTATTGTATTTTATGCAGCGTTTTATATGCATATATATATATATATATATATATTTCTTCTTCTTAGGCAGAAAGTTGTTGGAAAGTGTTATTCCTTGTACGAGTTGATAAAGCTCGCCTTCGAGTGATCCAAGCTTGGATCACACTGACATACCGTAAGCCAGGCCTAGCAGTTTCTCAGTGTCATTAGTTAGCACTTTTTATGTATTCTTTTGTTGTGTCCTATAGGTGATCACTGCAGTTCAAAAGAAGCATAGGTGGATTGCATTCTAATCAATCTTAAATCTTATTAAAAAGTAATATAGTAACTTTTAACTTTTAATTATTGCTCCTCTCAAAAAAAAAAAAAAAATAGTTAGAACTTTTTATAATTAACACTGGTGGTATCTCTCTCTTTGTTTTTTCTTTTTTTTTTAAACACTAGGGGGTCTTTTTTTGGAATATAATCAATCCTACTTACAAATATGATTAGTGAGAGTAGGCTGTGTGGGTTTTTATTTATTTATTTATTTTGTGCCATGAAATCTAGGCAATGTACATTTGGGCTTTAAGATAAAAGGTATAAAGATATAAGTTATTATTTTTTTTATAAATATATAAGTTATATTAGTTTTTATTTAAAATAAGATGGTAAATTGTTAATATTTTTATTTAAAAATGTCAAATTTATATTTTTTTTGTTTAAAAATTAATTGAATAGTAATAATAATGTGATCAACAATTTTTTAATTATTTAATTAATTTTTAAATAAAAAATAAATATTTTTAAAATTAAAAATTTTTAAAATTATTATTTTATTTAAAAATTACTTAATTTATAATTCAAAAAATTAAATATTTATTTTTATTTAAAAATTAATAAAATTTATATTTAAAAAATAATTTAAAATTTTAACTTGAGTCAGACCCAGATGAAAAGAGAGAGAGAGGGAGAGTTGAAATTTAAGTGGTGTTTTGGTAAAATTATAGAAGAAGAAGGAAAAGGCGCTGAGTCCCAGGACCTTTTCCTAAAGCGGCTAATCTGACGGCAGTCCACCACGTGGAGGGTAACGATAGGGTAGGCTTTACAGCCACTTTTCAAGGAGTCCTTTTGTCGTTGTCCATAACTGAGCCATTTCATTTCATTGCATTGCTATATAGATGGATGGACAAAGCCAAAAAAAATATCCAAGAAGATATCCTCCTTCATCCTTATCCCATGTTTTTACCCCAAAATTACCAAAATACTTTTCTTAGCCATTTAATTAATTGGTAATATTAGTTTGGTTTTTTT